AACCAGTAGGTATACTTTTATGGTCCTTTCTTTTCATCGACCACCTATGAAATAATATAAACTAAATATCACTCTATTTAATTGAAAATATTTAAATCAAAATTTAGTTCGAAAATTACCTCAACAATAAGGGGATACGTATGGTTCATTCACGATCGGGCATAAGAAAGGCATGCGGAACCATGCCCATGATTGTAGAAGCAGAAGACATCCACCGATAGCAGTTTCTTATAATTCTCGCCCGATACATTTCTCTAAAGAGAAATGCCAAAACTGCAGCGCCCAACTATATCTTCCAGCTTCATCAAAATCGATCAGATGCCGCAACCACATACAATGCACCTGGTTGCGAGATTTGTCGGGCATCAATATTCCTCCAATTATTCGTAGAATATATGCCCGAGCACATGCCTTTGTTTGATCCTCTGAAGCATTTTCATTTAAAACCTCAAAATAACTTTCAACCAAGATAAAGCTATTCTACCTCCATTAAACTCTGGCGGAGCAGCTCCAAGATAATCAATGCACATGATTGCAATCACCATCCGCCATACCACACATCATATTTCCGTCGACGGGAAGCCCCAGATGCATAGAGACATCCTCCAATGTAATTGTCGCCTCTCCACATGGAAGGTGAAAAGTGTGTGTCTCGGGCTTCCACCTCTCAATCAGTGCAGAAATTAGGACAGGTTCGAGTTTGCAACCGCCTATAATTGTTGCAATATACCCGAACCCAACAGAAGCCAAATATGGCAAAATACGTTCGTGTCGGTATACGTGGATTTTAATAAAAGTCTCTAAAATACGATCAGTATCTAAATAATATACATTATAAAAAATAAAAATTAATATAAATTCATAATAACTTTAAAATAAAAATAAATTTAAATATTAACATTAATTATAAAAAATATTACCATTTCGCTAAAATGTCTGGAGATATGATCAATATCCAATCGCAACAGCATTTCGTTTTCCATTATAACTGTAGACAAAACAATATAATTAGCAAAAAAAATTAATAATTCTAAATAATAATTATAAATATTATTTAATAAAAAATAATATTAATAATAATATATAAAAATAATAACTATTTAAAAAAATACTAACATAAAAATAAATTTCTTACCACTAATAACAAATTTAAAACTCAAATAGTTGGAGAATTTAAGTTATATAAGAGAGGAGATATGATTTTGGTATGAAGAATGAGGGAGGGTTGAGGGGGTTTATATAGGGGAGGAGGAGGGGTAGTTAGAAAAAACTGATGGGGGCATTTATGACATTTAATGGAAGGCGCGTCCCCGGGGATGCGCTTTCCACACGTGGCAGTCGAGTCAGTGAAGGCGTGTCCCCGGGGATGCGCCTTCCACACGTGGCATCCAACTCAGCGAAAACACGGGTAAAGCGCGTCTCCGGGGACGCGCCTTTGCCAACTCAGCAGAAAGGGTGCTACTTCGGGAAATATTGGTCAAACGGTGTCAGAAAGGGAATATTAAAGAAAATTGGTGTCAGTTATGTCAAATAGCCTGCATAAACTTGAGATTGACTTCATATCTGTTAGTTTTTGGATCACCCATTGCTTGAACTCATACATTTTTTGGGGTAATTTTAGTGTCTCTTTTGTTTTTAATTCATAACCTAGGGATTTGATTGGCTTTGGCGAGAATTTTAAAATGGGTTTAGTGAAATATAGATGGGTTTTGAGTTTGATCAGTACTTTTTGTTTCTGAATTCTGGGTTTATGTTTCTTAAATTATTTTGTTGGATTTGATTTCACTCTTGGTTTATGCAGATGTCTTGAAATCTCAAATATTGATTTTTTTTTATCTTTTAATAACTCAGAATTTGATTCTTCTAATATGTTTTTATGTGGCTAAAAGCTTGAGCTTCACTGTAAATTGATAATATTGAATTGATCATCGTAGTGTATAATGTTTACTATATATGAATTATGCATTCTTTGGATCTTCTATTTGAGTTCTGTTAAGTGTTTATGCGCCGGAGAGCAATTAATCAACGTAGAAAAGATGATACCTCCATTGGAATCCCTTGCTGCCGAAGATTATTCACTGAGTGATTATTATTCTAAAGCTAGTAACGGTGAGAAAAGGCCAGATACCGGGAATATAGAAGAAGTTGAGTTGTCGCTGCGTGAGAGTAGTTCATTGAATTATGAGATTTGCTTCTTCATCCTTTGCAGCTTTCAAGTTTAGTTTCGGAATACGTTTGTTCGGCATTGCCGTTATATGTCCTTGGGATATGTAGCATTGTACTGAAAATTGGAAATGGCACATAGGTTTTCCTATTATTTCCTTTTAGTGAACTCGTTTCTGCCTTTGCATCTCCCCTTTTTGCCAATTCTTTAAGTGCTTTTATTTACTTTCTTTCTAGCCAAGGTGCCTTCGATTTGCAGGAAGCTAGAACATGATTGGGAAGAATTGAATATCAGAAAGGAAATACAGAAGCTGCACTGCATGTGTTTGAAGGAATAGATATTGCTGCAATAACTCCCAAAATGAAACTTGGCCTTACTAGAAAAGTAGAAATGCGAAAGAGACACTCTCATGACTACGCTCCTCCGATGTCTATCCATGCTGTTAGTTTACTACTAGAAGCAATCTTTCTCAAAGCAAAATCATTGCAATCAATCCACATAGAAAAAGTCCATTTTCGATCTAGTCAACACGTCTAAGAACATTACAATAATATTATTACGATTGGATATTATTGTTGTTTTAATGTGATAAATCCTTTAATTATATATTTTGACAGTATTATTATTATTATTATTATTACAATATTATGTATTATTGTTGTTTTAATTTATACTATTAATTAAACATTCTTAGTTATAAACTTTATAATATATTAATATTATCTAAAATACAGATTTTTATAAAATATAATTAATATAAAAAAATGAACCTTTCAAATAATAATAAAAACATATTCTTTGTACAACTTCTTTATTAAAAATAAATTTTGAAAACTGTTTTCAGGAAAATTACCCAAACAACGTAAAACATTTTACAATGTACTATCAATGCTGGAAAATGATTTACATTTCTATAAAACATTTTCCATATTTCATTTTCCGAAAAACGTTTTCAGTGAAACAAACAGACCTTTAGTGTTTAAACAAATAATCATTAACTTTAGAAGTTTTAGATTCAAATATCAATAATTTTATATATTTAAGTGTTTATTATATTATAGAAATTCTTTTAACACTTGTATTTATTTTATATTAATAAAAATTTATTATTATTTAAAATATTGATATGCAATTTCCTAAAAGATATTGATGTGTAATATATTATTTATATGGGTAAATACATTGGTAGTCACTGAATATTTAGGATATTTTCATTTTAGTCATCAATCTTTTAAAATTTGATTGTAATTATAATTATTAAACTTTCAATTTGCTTTTACGAACATTGTCCATAATGACCATTAAGAAATACTGACATGACACGTTAAAGTATACTATCAAAAAAAATCTTAAGGCCTGAAATTTACTATCACAGGAAAAGGTATTTATTTTTATAAACGGAACGATCATTGATCAATCTCAATTAAAAAATGATCTGTTTGACTATAAAATTATCAAGATTATGTTTAAAGCTTAATATCTATAATCTTTTAAATTTGTAAATAATAATTATTCAAACATCGCGTTTTAAATCAATTTTTAATTTCTTTATTTTGTTTCCAATTCTAAATGCTAAAAATTTTAGTAATACGAAAAACAGAATGGATTATAAATTTTAAAAAATTGAACACCAATAAGTTATTAATTAGTTCTAGCGTTGATCTCTTAAATAAGATTAAAAATTAAAAATTTATATTATTAATAAAGTAAATTGAATTTAAAAATATTACTCTTTTAATAAATCTTTATATTTTTAAATTTGAATTAGTTGGCTAGTAAATATTGTTGAAAAAAATTGTAACAATATCGATAACGATAAAGAAAGTTAAACACCATGGGCTCCGAAAGAAGATAAATTATCATAATGAAACAATCATAAAATAATAAGCGGGCCATGATCAAAAACATATTACAAAACAATGATGTTGTCTTGTCTGAGATTATATCATTACATATATAGAAAACAATTTAGTACATATTTTTAATGAAATATTTAGCATATTATAATTATTAATGGAGTTTAAACTCTAAATAATATTTTTATATAAAAATTTAGAAACGATATTATGAATATTTTATTTAAATTTTACAATTAAAATATCTTACTGACAAATATATCAAACAGTGACATAATATATAATAAATGCTTTAATCAACAGGTCGTGTGTTAAAGTTGGTACAAAGTAACATCAGATAATATAAGAACAGTCTTGAGTGCATCACTAAAACAACCTTTTTTTTCCCTTCTAAGAATATGCTACATGAATATTCTATTTATTTTCTAAGTACGGTCTTGAGTGAATAACTAACCCTGTATAAGTACAAACATATTGTATAAATAAATTATTGTTATTTCTTGATGTTATAGATTTGAATATTAAAAATATTAAGAGTGTATACATTTAATGTTAAATAATTAAAAATTATCTTCAAATAAATACTACCTTGCACTTATTTCAAATTAACAAAGAAAAAAATATGAATAAAATCAAGTAACTTGAGTCTGAACCACCACGGAACTATAGAGATGTTGGCGGAACAAGAAACCCTGCCGCAATCGGCATGAACGCCGCCACCGACAACAACAACGTATGATGTTTAGGCTCCAATTAGTGTTTTAGAGTTTTTAAAGTGATATTGGTTTGGGTCGTGTCACTTGAATAGTTCTGGGTTTTAGTCGGTTTCGTATTGAAATGAGAAAGATCCAACTCTCAACAGTAAACCTCATCTTTCAACGTAATGGAGCCTACTAATATACTGTAGATTTGACCTTATTAGTTTATATATTTTCTTCCATTTCTAAACACCTCACTTGTAAGCTATTCATCCATCGTTAATGGCCAACATTCTCTCATTTTTCGTCTCCATATCCGTCACTATCTTCGTACCCTTATGCATGGCTGCAACAAGCTTCAACGACGACCAATCTGTTCTTCTCGAGTTCAAAGCCCATATCGCTTCCAATCCTCATAATGTCTGGCCATATAATTGGTCATCTGCCACCGGAGTATGCATCTGGACCGGAGTTTCAAGCGGCGTTAGTGGCCGAGTCATGGCCTTGAATCTTCCCAACATGATCCTTCACGGCGATATCCCGCCACCCTTGGGAAACCTCTCGTTTTTGTTGGCTCTCAACGTGAGTGGGAACTGTTTTAATGGCGATTTGCCATCCGAGTTGGCCAAATTGCATGGCTTGGAACTCATGGACTCGAGCAACAACGAACTTAGTGGTGAAATTCCTTCATGGTTTGGCAACTTAACCGAGCTTCGACATCTAAGTCTCTTTGGTAACAACTTTATAGGAAGTGGTAAGCTTCAAAAGATTAAGAGTCTTCGTCTCTGATACAACCTGCTTTCGAATTCGATTCCTCCATCATTCTATAATATTTCCTCCGTAGAAGTTGCAGATTTCATGTTTAATAATATCACAGGAAGTATATTGAGCAGTATTGGGAACTTGACTAATCTCAGAGAACTATATCTTGCAGCAACAGATATTGCAGGTGAAATTCCTAGGGAAATCGGTAATCTTCGTGATTTCCAAGTATTTGACGCCAGAAATTCGAGCCTTACCGGTTCCATTCCGGAAAACATCTTCAACATGTCGTCGTTAAAATGGATTTATCTAGGAAACAATAAGCTTTCCGGTACTCTCCCTATTGACATACGTTGTAACCAGTTCTTGTTCTTTTTTTGTCCTTAAATCAGTTAAATGATGAAGTTCCTTGGGCTTAGACGGTTGCCACGAGCTTCGGTATCTCGACTTATTGGTAAACGGATTCACCGGACAGATCCCGAGTAGCATCGGAAACTTAACCAGTCCTCGGAAACTATACGGGAGCTTATGAATTGAGAGGTGAAAAACAAACAACTAGAGGACTTGTTTTTTCATATTGATGTTTGTTCATTAGTCATTACCACTGACTTTATCTAATCTTCAGCAGGAGAAATCCCATGGGAGGTAGGCAACCTTCTGAACTTGGAGGTGCTGGACATCGGAGAAATGGGGCTCACCGGTCTCATTCCACCGGTTATCTTCAACATGTTTTCTTTGAAGATGATTCACCTCGCAAACAATAGTCTATTCGGTAGCCTTCCAAGGGATATATGCCTTGGCCTTCCAGCACTTGAGTGGATTTTATTTTCTTAGAAGTAAACTCACTGGAAGTGTTCCAAGGAATATTGGCAACTGCAGTTTCCTCCACACTATTAAATTTCGGCTAAAACGGTCTCACCGGTACCTATGTCCTTTCCGTATATAGCTTGGTTTTCTGGCATATTCGACTGCAAATTAAAGCATGCTGATTAAAATGCTTGTACATACGTTTTCATGGTGGTAACAGGACAAATACCAGAGGAGATTGCCAACTTAAGACAACAACTTGACTGGTTCAATTCCACCAAAGGTATTCAACATGTCAACCATCTACTTCATTGCATTACATTGAAATAGCCTTTCAGGACATCTTCGGTCGAGCGACGAGTTTCGGCTTCCTAGACTTACACTCCTAGTCCTAGCTCAGAACAAACTCAGTGCCAGCATGCTTTGATAATTTGACTGCTTTTCTGAACTTACATTCCAACAAACTAAGTTCCAACATTCCATGACCTTGTGGAGACTTTCGAATCTGTTGGAACTCGATTTGTCATCGAATTTTCTCCGTGGCTCTGTCCCGTTAGATGTTGGGAACTTAAAGGTTTTGATCAGCATGGATTTATCCAATAATCGTAATCTGCCAAGCACCATTAATGGCGACCTCAACAGTTTGATTTATCTTTCATTTGCAGAGAATTCATTGCAGGGTCAAATTCCTGATTCTTTCGGCCATTTAACGAGCTTGGAGTTCTTGGATCTCTCGAGAAACCGCCTTTCTGGAGTGATTCCTAAGTCCATGGAGGCACTCTCCCATCTCAAATACTTGAACTTCTCTTTCAATAGGCTCGAATGCGAAATCCCGACTGAAGGACCGTTCCAAAACTTGTCGGCCGAGTCATTCGGGTCAAACGAAGCTCTTTGTGGTTCGCCTCGACTTCAAGTGACACCATGCAAAGCTGGCTCTGATCACCGCTTGAACAGGGCGTGGGTTCTTATGCTGAAATGCATCTTACCAGCTATAATATCTGCAATGTTGCTGGTGACCCTTATAATCATCCTTGTGAGATACCGTAATTCAAAACGAAAGGTCCCGATTCGAGAAACTTCGTTGCCACTGGCAACATGGAGAAGGATTTCTTACTACGAGCTTCGAGTAGCAACAGATGGATTCAATGAAAGTTGCTTGACTGGTACCGGAACTTTTGGCTCGGTTTATAAAGGCACTCTATCAGATAGTGCAACGGTTGCAGTAAAAGTTTTCGACCTACGTATCAATCGAGCATTCCGGAGTTTAGATTCTGAGTGTGAAGTAATGCGGTCCGTTCGGCATCGAAATCTGGTTAAAGTCATTAGCACTTGTTCCAAAGAGATTTTCAAAGCTTTAGTACTCGAGTTCATGCCGAATGGGAGCCTTGAAAAGTGATTGTACTCTCATACTTCCGCTCTAAATATTGTACAGAGACTCGACATAACGATCGATGTCGCATCGGCTCTTGAACATTTTCATCACGGTCATTAAACACCGGTGATCCACTGCAATCTGAAACCCGAAAATGTCTTACTCGACCAAGATATGGTGGCTCATGTGGATCGCCAAGCTCTTAGGAGAAGGAGAATCCATGAAACATACCATCACAATGCCCACAATTGGTTACATGGCACCAGGTGATCATTCTCTTTTGAAAACTAAAATCTGCAATCGAGTTTTCGTGATTAATTCGAATGAGCTTCGGTGCAATTTGTTGCAGAATATGGAACACCAGGGATCGTTTCTACCGAAGGCGACGTCTATAGTTTGGGCATATTACTTATGGAGATGTTGACATGAAAGAAGCCGACCGATGAAACATTTACCGACGAATTGAGCTTGACGGATTTCGCGAAGGAGTCGTCGTTTGATTAACTAACGAACATTATCGATGCAGCTATACTCCAGGAAGGGGAGGTACATTTCAGTGCAAAAACCAGTTGCATATGGTCAGTTCCAGAATTGGCCTTGGATTGTTCAACAGAGTCGCCTGAGTGAAGGAGAAAGATGGTAGATGTTGTGGCCCAATTCAAAAAGATCAAAACCAGGTATCTAAAAGATGTACGAGGACCGGTTAGAAGAGTTACGAGTAGCCCCTGTGGTATCTAAAACAAACATCATTGTATCATGTTATGTTGCCCCATGTTTCCATACGATACATTCCAATATCATCTTTCGAGCATAAACTGAATGACTTCAGTGGTAAAGAAATAGATGATGTTTCGGGTGTGTTTGGTTGGGGGAATGTAAGATTCTCATGGGAATGAAATCCACATTCCCCCGTTTGGTTGACCGGGAATGCCATACCCGGTAATCTTACATTACCAATAGTGGATTTTTTGGGATATATTACCGGGAATGTCATTACCTCCATTTCCTTAAGTATTGTTGAATTACCTGCGTTTTGGACTAAAATGCCCATAAAAAAAATTTCTTTCAAAAATATCCTTATTCTGTCATTGAATAATAAAAATTATACGAAGGTTAAATTACAAATTTATCCTTAAACTATTTTAGATTTACAAAAAAAAATCTATAATTAAAATTTTATATGAAGTTCAGGGATTAAAATAAAATTTTACCCTTTCATTAAACCTTTTTATATTTTCAATTTTGTAAAAAAAATTATATAAATTTTATGAATTTAAATTTTTTAAAAAAATATATAATTATTTTCCAACTTGTTAAAAAAACAAATATATAATAAAGACAATTTGGTCAAATATACCTTCCAATAATATTTTATTCGTTTAACCAAACACGATAATCTTACATTCCTGCTAAACCAACCAAACACAAAATACAACATTCAGTAATCCTATTCCCTGATAATCTTTTATTCCCACTGATAATCTTACATTCCGTGAACCAAACGCACTTAAGGTTTTAGGTTTGACTACCAGACATATCAAGAGTGTGAGTTTTTCAATATCAAATGTTTGAGAGTTATCTTTGAGTCGGGTGGAGACAATCTCTCCCTTGAAAATTTAAAATTATCATATATTTTAGATTTTTATGTATTTTTTATTGAAAATATGTTTTATCACACTGATATGTTATAAGTTAAAGTTTGTCCTTCTAAAATTCTAAAAATTTAAATTCACCGCTAACATAAAATCTTACATTCATCCTAGCATAGACTAGTGAGAGAGAAGAAATCAGAAACAGATTAAATTTATAAAAATATTTAAATGTTGATGATTAATTTTTTAATATTAAAATTAAATTATTATAAATATAAAATTCAAGAATTAAATTTATTATTATTTTAATTTTATTAAATATAACGTCATTTGTTGTCAAAATTTTTAACAAAATAGAATAATTTGTTTTATTTAAATTAATGATCAATTTAGGCTAATTTTTTAAATAATGATATTAAAAAATTAAATCCTCAAATAATATTAAAATTTTTATTTGTTTTAGCATGGAATATCGTGCTATACCTATTACCCATGCAAAACACATGGGATAGGATGCGTTTCCCATGCAAAACGCATGGAACACCATATGTCACCCATGGCGATCCTTAATTAATTTGCATGAATTGAACCTAATTTCTTAAGTTTGCATGGATTGAAACTAACTTTCTAGGCTTTACAAATGATTACCTTTAGATTTTACAACGCATTGTGATCTATTTTTATTTTTTTAATTTTTTTGTAATAATAGTCAAAACTAAATTTAAACTTTAAACCCTAAATTATAACTCTTAATACCTAAAATTTAACCTAAATCCTAAACTTTAATCCCTAAATCATATCTAAACCCTAGACTCTAAACTCAAACCCTAAATAAAAACATGAGAGGCCATTACACTCCATGTGTCTCTCTCATATTTATATTAGAGTTGTATTATATTTTGTACGTCTTAAATTATACTGTTATAAGTACTCTATTTCATAAAATAATTCCAAATGATCATTAGAACCAATAAAAAATTCAACGCAATATCTAAAAATTTACCCCCTATATAAGCTGCGGCAACACTATAGAAGCAAATTCGGGCGGCCAACGGAAACCATGATTTCCTAGTAAGCACACATCTTTGAATCTTTCTTTACTTAATTTACAATTCTCAATCAAATATTATTTCAGCGTAGTAACATTTTGTGTGTATTTTGTTAATGGTAAAGGAGGTAAGAAAGAAGAAATGACTGTTCCTCTTTTAAGTAAGAAGATCGTGAAGAAGAGTCAAGGTCAAGAGACCCCAAAGTGATCGCAAAATCTCCGTCAAGGTATACTAAAAACTTCTTTTTATCATTTAAGCTTTTATTTTTAGAGAAAATAACTTCAGTGACCGAAAATTCCTTATAATATACGATTTTGACCAACTTTTTTTCGATTTGCCAAAATGACCAACAAAATCGCAATGCGATCTCCAGTATCGCAAATCAGTTTCCAGATTCGCAACGCGATTTTGACTATCGCATTGCGATTTTCCAAATTCGCGTTGCGATTTTGTAAAATCGCAATGCGAATATGTAAATCGCAACGCGATTCTGACTATCGCAACGCGATAATACAAAATCACAATGTGATTTTCAAAGCGCCATTAGTATCGCAACACGTATTTTATTTTCAAATTCCAAACACGAATATTAATATATCCCGTAATCGCAACTCTTAACCTAAAACCCTAAATCACAACTCAGTCTCATCTCCATTCTCACTCTCTACGACGACATCCGTCCCCATCTCCGACGAAATCCGTCCCCATCTCCGACGAAATCGTCTATCTCCATCTCTCAGAGCTACCCTCACAATCATTCACGATCAGAAATGGAAAATCAACCAAATCAACCACAGAGGGTTAGTTTTTTTAATTATTTTTATTTTGAATTTTTTGCATTATTATTAGTTTTTCATATTGAAATTGAATATAAGTTTACTGGTAATTTCAATAATAGATTAACCATTTCACTTAGATTGCTTATTAAATTCATTCGATTGTTGCCAATACTGCTAAACTGTTTAGTCTTTAACCCTGTAAAGTTAGTATTTGTCTTTGTTTTATCTTTTGGTTGAAGTAATGCAATTCATTCAAGTTTCAATTTTAGACAATGACTATTTGAAACCGAGGATCGCAACGCGGAATGAAAATCGCAACGATAGTCATTTTCGTGTTGCGATTTTAAGTTTCAGAAACTATTATTCTTCTGCAAATTGAAACTTGAATGAATTGCATTACTTCAACCAAAAACCAAAGACAAATACGAAATTCACAGTGTTGGAAATTTAAGTTTGAAGAATAAACTACTACTACTCTTTATTGTTTTTGGTATATCTTCACAGGGTAGTTTTTAATCTAACTTGGTATGTTTATTGTTTTTGTAGAAATTTTTTTCGGCTCAATTGACCTTAAGGAATAAAATAAGCCTAGTCACTACAATTGCGTCAAAGCTTTCACCTGTACAAAGAACATTGTTTGAGGATACTTGCTTCGGGCCATGGCTGAAAGTACAACATCCGGGTGGAGATGCTATGTTGACCCATTTGTGGCTTCAGATCATGACTAGCGATCTACCCGAGAGTATAAAACGTGGTAATGAAGAGATATGGTTTCATTTTTCACCGGCGTATACGTGTTTTGGGCGGGAGGAGTTTTGCTTAATCACTGGTCTACGCTTCGGACACGATGATGTAGGTCGATACACTAGTCATATTACCCGCCCATCATGGTTATCCTAGGTTTTTCCTGAGCTGTCAATGGAGAAGCCGAATTTACACGTCGATGACTTGACGAGATTATTGAATAAGAAAGATGGTTTTACTTGGATGGATGACGTTGATGTTGTCCGAGTATGCCTTTTAGTACTTTTGCATGCCAGCTTTTTAGGCAGAGAGGCCAGACAACCTATTCCTAAGGACCTAATATTATTGGTAGAGAACCTAAATGCATGGAACCTGTTTCCGTGGGGTTCGTATCTATGGAAAGCTACTTGGAATAAGTTGTCATCTGCCTTTGATGACCGCAAAAGTTTGCGTGGCGATGGTTCCAAATACACTTTGTCAGGCTTTATTTGGGCCTTTAAGGTAAGAATTTCTATATAATGTTTCCAAAATTATAATTAATTATTTAACAATTACTAATGTTTGTGTATTATATTGTTTTTGTAGATTTGGATATTTGAGGCTTCTCCCGACATGCAGACATATGCATTAAAAACTTCAAATGATATTCTTAGAGCTATTTCCTGGAAGAGGAAACGACGGCTGTTGATTTGGGAAGAGTTACTACGGTATACGAAAATAAATGATGTAAGTTAACACAAATACTACCATATATATAAATAAGTTATTACTAGTACACGTTTAACTTTGTTTGAGCTTTTATATTGTTAGGAGGCCAACACTCCATTACAGAGGCTGACACCCACGGAGGCTGAGCTTGC